TTCCCTTTCCCTTTCTTCCTCTTCCCCATTTAATTTCCTTTCTTTCCCTTCCCCTTCCCCTTTCTTCCCCTTCCCCTTCCCTTCTGTTCTTTCTGTAGGTACTGGGCCTTGCACTCTACCATTTGAGCCACAACCAGCTCTTTTTTTGCATAGTTATTTTTTGGATAGGGCCTAGCATTTTTGCCTGAGGCCAACCTTAGACCTCAGTCCTCCTACATTTGCCTCCCACATAGTTGGGATCACAGGCATGTACCACTACACCAGGATTATTTGTTGAGATGGGATCTCACTAACTTTTTGTCCAGGCTAGCTTTGAACCAAAATCTTCCCTATCTTCACCTGCTGAGCAGCTGAGATTCCAGGTATGTGCCACTGTGGCTAGCCTAGACTAATTGTTTTTCTTGAGTTGGGGTCTTGCTATGTTGTCCAGATAGGTGTCCAACTCCTGGGTGCAGGTGATCCTTCTGAATAGCTAGAACTGCAGGTATATGTCAGTGTGTCTTGGTTAGAGTTAATATTAACTCATTTAAGAAAAAATGATTTGCTGATTTTTCCTAATATTAATTGGATTATATCTCTGTGTACTCCAACACCTCAGTTTCATGTAGTCTGAGACTCAGATTTACTGGTTCCTGCCTGGAACAATCTGTCTGTCCTCTTGTTTTAATGTGGACTATTTCTCTCTAGTCTTGTTCCTAGAGAACATCTGTTTGGGTTTCTCTTTACTGACATCTCTGATGGAGTTTCTGCTCCTTAGATGCTGTGACTTTTGATATTTATTCACTCTCTCTTGTGGATGTAGCACATCCTCCACTAGCTTCTTGAGAAATGTTTCATGGAATTAGGGAATTGGAGGCATCACATGTATGAAAAATCTTTATCATACCTTCAAACACTTTACTTTCTGATTCATTTGTTTTAGTAGCCACTCTGTTCAAGAGGCTCAAAAATGTGGAAAGTAAAGAAGCATGTATGGTAAATATTTCTTTCACTGTTGTGCTCTGACACCCAGTTTTCCTCCCAGAACATTAGCTAGTCCTTTTCAACATCCCATCGTTAACCCATCCTTAGCACACATCATAACTTAGGAACCTACCCAGCCTCACCCCAATTGATTTGCTGAGCTAAGCTAATTCTACCTTCAAATCTCTTTTCCAAGCTTCCACATCCTTTTGTACTCATCTCTTGCCCACATTACTTTTAAAAGTCACCTAATTGCCTCCAATCTGTCCTCCCTGCCCACCCCTGTGCCCCCCCACGGCTTTCAAGGATAATCATTCTAACTTTCAGTTTGAATTAGGTCGTTACCTTGCTTCAGATCCATCAGGGCCTCTCCCCTTAAAGAATTAACTATAAATCCCCAAGGATTAGGTGCCCCAGTCTTCCCTATTTGGAGCTTGGCATACAGCATATGCCTAATATTGTATATGGTAATTGACTCTGTGTGATCCTGAGGACAGTTGCCCTAGTTGAGGTCAGATCTTGAAAGAAGAATTAAATTTGAGGCTGAAACTGGTTCATTTCACACTTAAACTTATATATTGAAAGAAGCTTTTCATTCCTTAACAACGAAGAGTGGGTAATGAAGGAATATCAGAGGCATTTGATAAGTAGAAGGATATTTTATACTTCAAATTAGGCACATATATCGGATAATCTTGAAGGAAGACACTATTTCTATGTATTGATAAAAATAACTTGATGTTATATATGATTTGTGAAATATTTAATTTTGTTTTACATCTAGGGAGGTAGCAATAGTACAGCCAAATTTGGTTCACTGCCTGTTTTTATACATGAAGTTTAATTGGAATACAGCTATGTTCATTCATTTGTGTATTGTCTTTGTTGCACTGGAACTACAGAATTAAGTAGTTGCAATAGAGACTACATGGTCTGCAAAACAAAAAAAATAATTGTTGACTGACTCTTTATGGAACATTTGCTGACTCTTCTATAGGGTGGTAGAAGTTGAGGGATGGACCATGAGTATCAGCTAAGTGAGTTGTGGGTAAACCTGTAAAAAGGTAAATGCAAAGTCACAGCAATGGAGCAAGCAGTCTTACTCCTCTACTCTTCTACTGCCCCCATCTTTTAATATTCTTGGGACTTCAAAGGGCAAATGAACCAACAGAAATGGCCTTCTACTTATGAGTCTTTGTACTCCTTCACAAAAGGAATGGTTGATTGGATTATCAAATACATCTTGCATGCCCCTCCTCCAACTACATTCCATAAAAAGGTATTGAAAAATGCATTAGTAAGACCCTCCCTTGCATCTGTGAAAAATTCATTGTTGCTGTCCTTTGTAGGTCATTGAGATTGGCTTCCTGATATCAGGGGAGATAATGGGATCCCATAGTAGCAGAAGCCAAGTGGCAGTAAGCACTTAACCACCAAAGACAAAATAGGTACATATTCCATAATGCAAAGCAGGAACACAGACTATCAGAAAGTATTGGCCTGTAGATGTTTCTGGTAGATGAGATAATGTCTTTGGCAGACTCCTAGTGGAAGCTAATGAATGAGATAGATAGGCAGTACTATAGTATTACTTATCTACATAATAGGAAAAACTTTAGCTCTAGTAGCAAAAAACCTGATTTTAATTGTTATAGCCAAGAGTCACAGTTTCACCCAGCTTCCAGACCTATGTCAATTTACAGGCCCAGAGCTCTTCCCCAAATAAATCGATAGCCATTTACTGGACACTACATTTTGAAGTAAAGGAAACAAATACTTAAACTTTTCATACCAATTTCCTAGGAACTCAAAATATCAAAGTGACAACTTACAATGATAAAGAAATAGATGGTCCCAGGTGGTTACCAATTAACCCTGTGCTTATTCCCAAGTTCCTTGGAATGGACATCCTAAATAACTGATAGAATCTTTTTTTTTTTATACTGTATTTTTTATTTTTTTATTTTATTTTATTGTTTTTTATTTTATTATTCATATGTGCATACAAGGCTTGGGTCATTTCTCTCCCTGCCCCCACCCCCTCCCTTACCACCCACTCCGCCCCCTCCCTCTCCCCCTTACCCCCTCAATACCCAGCAGAAACTATTTTGCCCTTATTTCTAATTTGGTTGAAGAGAGAGTATAAGCCATAATAGGAAGGAACAAGGGTTTTTGCTGGTTGAGATAAGGATAGCTATACAGGGCATTGACTCACATTGATTTCCTGTGCATGTGTGTTACCTTCTAGGTTAATTCTTTTTGATCTAACCTTTTCTCTAGTTCCTGGTCCCCTTCTCCTATTGGCCTCAGTTGCTTTTAAGGTATCTACTTTAGTTTCTCTGCGTTAAGGGCAACAAATGCTAGCTGGCAGAATCTTTATGTTAACTCTCATGTGAGGACCACGTGATGGGAGAGCTAAGGGGAAGAGCTTCGACCATCTTCTCTCTTCTAAGACAGTAAATCAGAAGGAATACCATATTCCTGTGGAAATTGTTGAGGCTGATGCTGTCATCAGGCGTTTAAAATACAACATGTGATATCTGTAGCATCCACATTGAACTCACCTATTTGGCCTGTGCAGAAGTTGGATGAGTCTTAGAAAAAATTTTTGGACTATTGCAAACTTCATCATTGAGTGACTTCAAATATAGTTACTGATCTAGATGTAACGAATGTCTTTATCAAGTGACACGGCCCCTGGCACTTGGTATGTGAACTACTGACTTGGCTAATACCTTTTTCTCCATGCCAATTTATAAGGACCACCAAAAGCAATTTGTTTTATCTAGCAGGGCCAAGCGTACACATCAGAATCGAGCCATCTTTTGGAGCCATAGTGTCCATTCCATACTGAAAAGAATATAGAACAGTTCAATTAGAAGTAGTATATAGAAATAATTTCTGCCTATTTTGTTCATTCAGCTTCACAACAAAGGTCAGACAACCCATCTCCATCCTACAACTTGAGATTTTTCTTATTTTAAATTTAATGAAAACTTTGAGCAAGAAGCTGAATAAAGTGTCAAAGTTAGTTTTCATTGCTATAAATAACATTTCCTTTAAAATTTGTTTAAGCTTTAGGGACAACAAGCATTTTTTCACCCCCTTTCCCTGAAAATTATTTGACTCTAATGGTGCATGGTATGCAATTATATTCTGAAACCCCTTCACATTACGTTTTTTTAATCATCATGAAGAAAACCAACCTTCACCCTTGATTCAGGCTGTCATCAACATCCTATTTTTCTTTTCCACATGGTGGTTTAGTACTTAGTGCTGTGTTCTTAAGGCCAATTGCAAGCAGTACTCCATCAAACCAAATTCTGTCTTTTAGACCCTGAAACCTAGAGATACTTCATGTAAAACTAATGCGTTTTCTTTTTGGTGTTAGATTTTGTATTTGTGTGAGCTATTGAGAATAGCTATTATATAACAATGGATTAAATGCTGGTGATTTTCTAATTTCTGTCAGGACTAACAAGTACTTCCATGTAAACAACTCTGGGAGAATGCCAACTTATTATTGGGTGATGCTGATTTATTATTGTACGTGGCTAGTTGGAGTAGTGGTAAGGGCCAACTGCATAAAAAGGTCCCTATATGGATGCTTAGTGTATGTTAGTGACATTTGTTTTCCCACAAATCCCCTCTTTTTATAATCCATTTAGTGAAGTCCTATGACTCTTTCGTTATCAAGTTATTTTTTTAAAAGTCAAAATACAATTATAAAAACTAATTTTTGCATATCATATAGTAGATAATACCAAAGTTAACAAAAAGTGGTTTTTTTTTTTTTTTTTTTTTTTTGGCTAGAGCGAAATCCTTAATATTTTATAGCCCCAACAGATTATAATCAATTATAATAATTGTTTTCTTCCAAAAATGTGATTTTCTTAAGGGCAATATTCTTTGTATTCTTGTTAACCCTAAGGATACATTGTTTTAGTTTATGTTCAGTTGTTTGTTGAATGAATTGTATTGTACTATACCTGTAGGAATGAATAGCTACTAATATCATCTATCATTTCTGTTTATAGGTATTACCATTTAAAGAAACCTTCTTGCCAGCAAATCTATGATTAAAAAATATAAGTAACAGAGGAAGTCATAACTATTATTTCTCAATAACAAGCCTTTAATGTGACAATGGCTCACCTAAAGCGACTAGTAAAATTGCATATTAAAAGACATTACCATAAAAAGTTCTGGAAACTTGGTGTGGTAATTTTTTTCTTTATAATAGTTTTGATTTTAATGCAAAGAGAAGTAAGTGTTCAGTATTCCAAGGAGGAATCAAGGATGGAAAGAAACATGAAAAACAAAAACAAGATGTTTGATTTAATGCTAGAGGCTGTAAACAATATTAAAGATGCAATGCCAAAAATGCAAATAGGACCACCTGTCAGGCAGAACATTGATGTTGCTGAGAGACCCTGTTTGCAAGGATATTATACAGCGGCAGAATTGAAACCTGTTCTTGACCGCCCACCTCAGGATTCTAATGCTCCTGGTGCTTCTGGCAAACCATTCAAGACAACTAATTTAAGTATTGAAGAGCAAAAGGAAAAAGAACGCGGGGAAACAAAGCACTGTTTTAATGCTTTTGCAAGTGACAGGATTTCTTTACATCGAGATCTTGGACCTGACACTCGACCTCCTGAGTATGTTGAAGAATATTCATTTACTGTTTATCAGCAGGGCTTTCGGGGAAGAGGTATTAACCAAGGAGGTTGCATGTTTTTTAGCCGCTCTGAGGTAGAAGATCAGCAGAACTGATTATGTAATCTGTTCTATTTACTGTTGCTTATATTTATCAAGGATAAATGTCCATATGTCACTGCTTTGTGAGGCAGTGCAGATATGAAAAGTTATCTTGGAAATTAGAATACTGAATTCTAGATCTGACATCTACACACAGGGGAATCCTTTATTCTTAAATACTGTAATTTCCTCATCTGTTTAGGAGGAAATATTGGACAGTTTTTATGGAAAGTGTAGGAAGTAGAGGAGTTGTAGTTCATTTCTCTGTATTGCTATAGAATAGAAATGTTAATAGAATGTGCCAATATTTTGGAGCTATTAGATATTTTATGTGTTTTTACAAACTAAGTCACAGACTTTGTGACTACTGTCAATGCATAATTATATTTCAGAATGCCCTATGTTTTGTAAGCTTTCTTAATGGAGAATTGTTGATAAGTTCTCATATCTATAGAGTTGGTTCCCTTTAGCTACTGAGAGACCTATCTTCCTTATCATTGAGTCACTTTGTTTACATGTTTGTCTCAAGTTTACAGTATTTTGATTAATATTTCCCTCCAGTTTCTACTATACTTTCTCTGTACTTAAGTAACCATTTTTGTTATCTGTAAGGTGATGTTTAAATGCCTTATTTGAATTGCAATGGGTGAAATGAATTCCAGCCCCATTAAGCCAACGGTCGATGTTTGAGAGTGCAAGATAGGCAAATAGTAAGCAAACAATGCCTATGTATTTTACTTGCTGCTTGTTAGCAGAATACATTTGGCAGTGAACCTGAAGAAAAGGACTTTTGTAGACTGTTTTACTGCTTCACTCTGGGTTTCCTTGATTTATGATTGTGAATACCTGCTCCAAGTATGTGAGTCCCTTAATCCTGAAGTTGTGTAGGCTAGATTTCTGCAGCTTTCTTCTAATATTTATGATCCCAGGTTAAGTTGTTCATCATTTTTAAGTGAAGTGTGTGAAGAAGCAAATTAACATCCATAAAATATTCTAGCTGTTATAACAGGGTATAATATAGTTCCTTTCTTATACCAATAGATTCCAATGTGGTATTGAATTTTACTATTTTTGGAAGAGGTTGATTGAAAAGAAATCCACATAGAAATTCAATAAGCATAATTTTTATTCCTTGAAATGGCAACTACTATCAGTTCAAGATGGGCTTTTTAATACTAGCATTAGGGAGCTACAATAATGTTCAGTACTATTAATTGTTGAATAAGTGAAAATCAACTAAGCACATTAACAAAATTTTTTGTTTAGAGTGGAAGATTTACTTATTTCTGGGTAAGGTTTTGTAGGGGTACTGATGGCTTAATTGTTTCTTACTTTGAATATAAACCATATAAACCAGGAACCCATTTTCTAAAGAGTTGCTAGTCATTTTCCATGTTCATTAGACATATAGATCTAATTTCTCTTAAAATTGGATGATCATATGACTGATAATTTAAGCAAGTTTCTGTCTGCCAGTTTTATGAATGGATTGACTGGAAGTAGACAGTCACTTTGGCAAGTTATTTTAATTGCACTGCTTTAAATGATGTGAAATGATTTTATAGCCTACATTTAACAGGTTGTTTCAAAATGAATGGGAATTATGAAACCATACTGCGAAATTTTATCACTTGCATTAATGATAGAACATGACACTTTTACTGTGGTAATCCCACTTTGTCATTTTTAATTACTAACTCCTGTTAGTAGTTATCACTTCAGCAGATAAACCCTAACTTAAATTGAGGGAAAGCCTTGCAGGATTCGAATGATAATATTTTATTACTGTTATCTTTGTGCAGCTTTAAATTTTGCATCTTCAATTTTTTTTCTAATTCTTGATTGGTATTGTATTAATTAACTACATGGCAAAGAAAGGTAGGTAAAAATGTTTATTAATCCCCAAATTCTTCTCCCTCTCTAAAATGTAAAACTGTAAGTCCTGAGATGATGATAGTAATGGTGGTGGTGATTTTTCCCCTCCTTCTCTTCCTCTGCCTCCTCCTTACCATACTGTAGAGTTTTCCAGCATTTTTACTTATACTTTATGTTGGTTTCTAAACCTTTATGTATAAAAATATGAACTTATATTTAGTCATTCATTTCTCTGTAATTATGATTCAAGCGTATATATAAATGGCCTATGTTTGGACTGTATTTTTACTTGTTAGCTTATCCAAAATTCAATTTAGAATAATTTTCTTTTATTCTAAACAATGAGGAAGGATGTGATGATTTACTTTGGACCATGACTTTGTATTGCACTTTGAAATTATGAAGACAATAGAGAGCAAATCACTTTCACTCAGAAACACCTTCCCTGTTTTTTTCTCCTCAGTGTTGTGGACACCTCTTCATATTTCACCCCAATCTAATTATTTTCTTTTCACTATAAATATCTACCCTAAATATCTCAAAACATTTACATTGAGGTATGGTTATAAAAGTAGTTTAATGTGAGAAGTTGTTATCTTTTTTAGCATGGCTTGAGTAGGCCCCTACTGTCACACCACTATTATACAGAGGGCTGCAGTTCCCCACCCCTCAGCCCATTGGTCCTAGAAGGTGACCAAAGTTTGTTAGCTCTGATCTCCATGGGTGAATTATCGGTTTCTTATCATTGGGTTTGAGCTACAATGTTTATTAACACACTGTATTTATAAAGTAGGGAGGATCTGACTTTGTGGCAAGATTTTATAGTCTGTTGACCAACATTTCACAGCCATTTGTGGTATTTAAATGACTTTAAAGATATAGTTGATATGCTTGTCTATCTTTTCCATAGGCCATGCTTGGTTTATTTTATGTCCCAGCTTAAAAGCCTTCATTTTATTCACTCCTCAGCCCAGTAGGCTAGTAACTGTGATCCACCTCCACATTTCTAGTCTGAAGGGTTATACAGAGCCAATCCCACCACAGTGGCTTAAATGAAAATTATTTTGTTAGGGGAAGACATTGTTATAGAAATGAATTCAAGATCAATAATGAATACTCAGTCGAGTACTCAGGAATGCTCTACCTATATCTATCTGGGTTGTAGATGATGACATAAGCACAGGACTTTTAATGTAGATTTAGGTCTTCTTTTTTAATTTCAAAATGTCCTGTCAAAAGGAAATTTTAAAATGCTAAGTCTTGATGAAACAGTAGAGCAAATTATTAGAGCAAAAATTTTAAAACCATGGAAAATGTTAAGCATTTGCCAAATGATGAACATTTTAAATAAGACCTTGGGTTTTATGGTAAGTTGTTTTCCCCTTCTGGGTCCATCTAGGTTGAAGTAAAATGATTTAATAAACAGGAAATACATAAGAAACATACATTACATAGTTAGGAAATTAATTTCTACAAATAGGGTCTTCAACTAATAAGGTACAATTTAAGTTGCAAATAAGAAAATGGATGATTTCTGCAGGAAAATTTAGGATGTTTTGTTTTTTATCTGATCATTTATTAGAATTTTTCATTTTTACATGTTCAATTTACAAGTTGTTTTTTATTTCAAATGTTATTTGTTTCTTATGCTGTTCAGAAAATTTACAGTAATATTTTGTAATTCACATCAGATGAATCTTTAGATGGATGAGCTGCTTGTAAACATTTGTTTTGATTTATTTACATTTATATACCATTAAGATTATCTCATATAGAAAGCTACTTGCTATCGTTTTTGGTGATAAAGATTAAGTAATGATAAGTTTAGCAATGATATAGCTGTGAAATAAAATAAGTAAAGTCATAATTATTCTTCTGCTTCTTTGGCTTCTTCTAGATGTATTGAACAAAAATTTAAGCGCTGCCCTCCCCTGCCTACCACCAGTGTCATAATAGTTTTTCATAATGAAGCATGGTCCACCTTACTTAGAACTGTCCACAGTGTACTCTATTCTTCACCTGCAATTCTCCTGAAGGAAATCATTTTGGTGGATGATGCTAGTGTAGATGGTAAGAAAGCACATGCAAATTCCACTTGGTCATGTTCAGAGTCTACTTGGTTATATTGTGCTCTCTGTATGCCATCTGAGAACTTGAATGTAGTAGTTTGGATAGATCTGGGCATGGTGGTACACACCTGTAATTCCAGCACTTGGGAGGCAGAGGCAGGAGGATCTCAAGTTTGAGGGCAGCTCTAACAACTTTGCAAGGACAAAAAAATTGTTAGATGGTGTATATGAGAGATGAAAGTAAAATCCAAGGGTGTCCATATTCACGTGTTTCGGATTATAGAAATGTATGAAACACTATTATTCATAACTCTATATTGTCAATATGTGACTTCTGTTCTAAGGCATAGTGGTTAAGAACACAGACTTGACTTGAATCCCAGCTCTGGCCCTAACCACCTGTGCAGTGTTGGCAAGTTACTTAACTCTCTGCCTTGGCATCTTTGTTGGTAAAATGGGGATAATATAATATTTAATCAAATTTATTATAAAATATGTCATTAGTTTATAAACTACCAAAAAGAAAAATCCTACAGTCAATTAAACTAACATGTCTTTGATTATAAAGACATATCTAGTTGTGTAGAGGAAATACAGAAATAGTACTAACTCCTGGAGTTGCTTAGGAAAATAATAAGTTAATATAAATAACATATCAATTAGTAAATAAAGTAAATGAGTAGGTACAATCACAGAAGAGTCACTACATTTTGGCTTTTTTCCCCCAAGTGCTAAGGATAAAATCGCATATATCAGGCAAGAGATTGTACCACTGAGCTACGCCTCCAGACCTTGGCTTTTAAAAATATTCCAATGCTGTTTTCAAAATTCACAAAATTCTATAATGCATTTCCACTTAAAATTGTTAAGTCATTAAGTTACACATCTTAAATTAGAATCACAAGGCTAATCTAATATTCTGATATTATAAATTTTCAAAATTGTAAGTATTTTAAGTACTAAACATATTATTTCAGTGATTACAAAATTTATTCCTGAATGAACCCAGGTTTGAAACCAGATTCCCAAAGGTCTAATCCCAGCTCAAGCACTAATTATTTGTTTCCTCATCTGTAAAATCATCAAATCCAAAATACTATGTATTGTTATATATAGCATACTTTTTATGTACATGAGAAAAGGAAGAAAGTGTGTATTAAAATACATGCCATCAAGTTTATGCTGATTCCAGGCATGGTAATAAGTAAATATAAAATGAAATTATTAACCTGGTTTATGTCATCACTTCTGTAATTGTAAGTATTTGTATGGTCTCAAGATTAAACTATCTGAATAAAATGAGGTTATGTTCTCAAGATAAACATGTAGGAAAAATAAAGTTGCTTAACATCAGAGATTTTTGATTTGGATGTGTGACCTATCTTCCAAATGAGGGAAGTTTTATAATTCAAGTCTTGTGGGTTCAATTTATATATAATAAGCTGGGTGTCCTGGTGCTTGCCTATAAACCCAGCATGGGGGAGGCTGAGGCAGAAGGATTGAGAGTTTGAAGCCAGCCTGTGCTACATAATAAGACCCTTTCTCAAAAAATAAAAAAAAAAAAAAACAAGCTATACACTATAGATCACTGATTTGAATCTAATACTCTTGCCCAGGTTACTTCACAACTTAAATGCAGTCAGCTAGTTTATTTACTACTAAGTCTGTTCTGATTTTTACTTATTCCTTCTATCTGGTTGGACTGCAGTCCATGGGTCTTAAGTGATGTCTGTTTGAGTTCTGTACTCTGCTTTTTTGTTTACCTAAAAAACAGTATCAAACTTCATCTTAGAAATCCTTTCCTCTCCTTTGGTTTCTTGAATGTTTTCACTACTATCTTTATTTAATCACACAGCAGAATTGTAGAATTAAAGGAAATTGGAAGGAAATGGGATACTCATTCATATTGTTCCTGTTTCATATATTTTAATTCTTTTTCTTTCCAAATCACTGTCAAAAAATATAATGTTTATTTAATTATATCAAAGATATCCCATTTCAATATCTGATGTTTTCACACAATGCTGTTCTTAGCCTGTTTATTTGACCTTTGAAACATTGTTTTTAATGTTGTTCTACACACATTTTACTTAGCCAGGCATCTTTTCTTCACCCCATAGCATTGCTGTGTATTATGCTTCAATGAATCGCTTGAGTCACTTTCATTATTTTACATTATAACTTTAAGTTTGGAAAAGTAGAACTTCTCTGTCAAAGAGTCTCAATATTTTTGTAATCCTTAAAGCACTTGCCAATAGATTTGGAAAGAACCCCTTGCTCCCCTTCTTCTTTCCTTCCCTCCTTCTTTCCCTCCCTCTTTTCTTTCCTCCTCCCTTCCCTCCCTCCTTCCCTCTCTCCTTCCTTTTCTCCCTCCCTCCTTCCCTCACTTTCTTCTATTCATAAGTTCTCACCATTATAGCCAGGCTGACCTGGTATGTAGCCCAGGCTGGCCATGAATTGACTATAGCCTACAGCCTTAACCTACCAAGTGCTGGGATTACAGGTGTAGGCCACCATGCCCAGCCACTGGAACAGTTTTCTCTGTTTGCATACTAGTGTAATTTGTCTCATTGAATCAATCAGACACCTATCCCATTGTGCTCCTTGAAGTGAAGGAACCTGTGAAGTAGAAACTATTTCCTGATTTCAGTTTGGTTACGGAAAAGCAGCATAAATGGATAGTCAGGTAACAATAAAATCCTTAAATCCCAGTGATAGCAAAAACCAAAGAGAACATTTTCAGAGGATAGTCCATGTGGTAGACATTATCTAAATGCATACAGTTTTGTGTGCTTAACTTTCCAAAAGAGGTATGTGGGTGGGACTAAATTTAGGGGGCAGATAAGAATTTGTAGAATGTCCAGAAGTTGTAGGTACATTTTTAAAAAATTAATAAATTCAAGCAAAGACAGGGTGTGTTGATGGAATCTATAGCAACTCCATTAAAAAATCAATTCCATAAAATCTTTGAAATTTTACAAGTCTCTTAAAGCAGAAAGTATTTATGATTTTATATATATGCTAAACTACAATATTGCTTGTCTTTAAGAGAATGATTTCTGAGGTACTTAGAGTGGGGTACAAGTTTAGTCTAACTACTCTGAGACGATGAGCAGACAAATTTACTTTTCAGTAAGTGTTCTTCCTGCAATGTTACCTCCCTTATGAATGTTTAAACTTAAATAAGCAACTCTCATATGTGCATCACTGATGAAGTGAAAAAAATATATATAATCCCAGATAAAGTCAAGCTCATCTACTCTTGCTTCTAAAATATGCAAGCGAAAATCTACCCCAGGATGTTATTGACTTTCTCCATATTTCCAAATCTGTTTGAGGCTGTGCTCTGGGCCCCAGAAGGCCACTTGAACTGCATTATATACACAAATTCAAGAATTTAATGGCCAGCTGGACCTGGTAGTACCTACCTACCTGTAATCCCAGGTTGAGGCAGGAGGATTGTGAGTTTTGGAAGCCAACCTGAGTATATAGTACGACCATGTCTGAAAGAAATAAAAAAAAAAACCAAAGAACAAAAATTTAATAGTGAAAAAGACTTAAGAAATTGTTTAAAATAAGACAGACTTTAATTATTGGATTTTCTTTTACCCATTCTCTCACCTTTGTTTGCTATGTATCTTATCCAAATTGGAATATTGAATATCTTAAATTCTATACCCATTACTATAATTTTCCCTGTTTTTAGCCTCCTGATTTACATGTTCCATTTTACTTCCATATTTTTACTGAAAAAAAAAAATCTGGGAACTCCAAAGCTTTCAGAAATTTTCTGATGACTCTATATAGATGTACCCAAACTCCTGTAGGAGTGGGCTTTCCTATGTGTGTTTTTCTCAATATTTTGGTTTTAAATTATTCTGATTTCTATCTAAATATCAGAGAATCCTTTTGATACTTGGCATTTTTTTCATTTAAGATTTCCGGACAAATACAATTTGAAAAATTGTCAAATATCTTTTTGGTTAAATTCAGTTTCTTTCTCTCCTGTGGTCAATTTGCACAGACATGTGTGAGCTTTCTTTACTCCTGGGGTTCACTTTTCTCCAGATCACATTATGTTCATTGGTATGAAATGTAAAGGATCAGTATGGGTTATAATGTTCTGGGTTGAAGTAGTTAAAATTTGCACACATAGTTTTTTCTCAGTGAAGATAAACATTTTCATCTTACTGGAAGAACACTAGCAACTGTTAACGTTATGAATTTGAAGGGGTCATTCACCCTGTGATTTCATTAACTTTCATATAGTCTATATGAAAATAAATTTAGAGAGAGTTAATCCTGATTTTTTCCGTTACAGATTACTTACATGAAAAACTAGAGGAATACATAAAACAATTTGCTATTGTAAAAATAGTCAGACAAAAAGAAAGAAAGGGACTGATCACTGCTCGGTTGCTAGGGGCAGCAGCAGCAACAGCTGAAACGCTCACATTTTTAGATGCTCACTGTAAGTATACATGTAAAGATAAGTTGGAAAATTTCCCCTCACCTCCCTTTAATTTACAGTTTCATTTTCTTTTTTTTTTTTTTTTTGTCTTTTCTTTTTTGGTGCTGGTATCAAACCCAGGGCCTCACACATGCTAGGCAAGCACTGTACTACCAAGCTACATCCCAGCCCTCTCATTTTCTTTAGATGACTAATTACATCATCTTGAGCAGCATTTTCAACTGTTTATACGAATGACAGCCAAAGCGGATAACAGTTCTGCGTAGGAACTTCCCTTAGCTGTAGAGTTCTCAGCTTCCTCTGTGTTTATATCTCTTCAACTTTAATGTTCTCCACTGACCAGCTTTTCCAGCAAGTTATGCTTGCCTAGCATTTTTTTCATATATTCTATCCAAAAAAAAAAAAAAAGAAAGAAAGAATTTTCTCCTTGCTATTTTTGATTTCTATACTTTAAGATAAAAATGTATTTAGGTATGATCAGTCCTGCCATTAAAATTTTGTGTCAGTACTGCCATTTTTAGTTTTTATGTTTCAGTTCTCATTTTGAAGATTTGTGGAGTCCTCAAATGACAAGTTAGGTGTATCCCTTCACAACTTCTGCTATTTAATCCTTGAGTATTGTCAATTTTTGTTGTTGCTGTTGGGTTTTTCCTTTGTATTTTAATTTTTTTCAGTGTCAATGTTTTTAAATTATTTAGATAGTATTTTTGAGTCAATGTATAATGGGTCTGCTAGATGTTAATAAATGTCACTTAATCCCTTGAGCTATAAATTTGGTGGGTTTTACTCTCTATAGGAGCATTTAGCCTTGATCTGGCTATCCCTTAGCTTATGTTTAACCCAACAACTGGTTTTGAGCTTATGATAATTGTTACAGAGGGACTTTTGGATTTGTTTGGATTGTTAGAATCACTGCATCCAGTATTTGCTTAATAATAAGCAGTTAAAAAATGAAGAGAGATGTAAAGGTTTTTCACAGAGGAAAACACCATTCTTTAGTAGTTCTTCAGACTGAACATTCATCCCCTTCTGGAGCGTGTGCCTGATGGTTGTCCTAGACCATGACTGCCAAATTTCACTTTTTGGGGCAAGGGAGCACAGAACAGGACTAAACACATCTTGTCTGAGCTTGCTCGTTGTGATGTGGGACAGCCTGGCCCATGACTAGGAGAGAAACCTTTCATGGGACTCCTTGTCCCCCACATTTCAGATTTGAATGATCCTTTCCCAATTGCTAAATCAGAATATTATGGCTCCTTGATTTATTTTCTCCTAAGGCCTGGTAAGAGAAATGAAGCTTTCAGTTATTGTGCCTTACTTGGGGTAGTGGAGGACAAGTTTCAATAAATCAGAATGCTTTGGGGACTAGTTGAAAAAATTATCTTTGATTTCTAGTCCATTTTAAAGGGGAACATATCATCTGGACCTTAAATACATCAGGATCACTTTGCTTCTTCTTAGAGAAAACACTTCTTTGTAGGAAGTGTTTCCTAGCTTTGTTCAATCTTGCTTTACCTTTTTTTATCCTGAAGCCAGTAAGAAATCCTCCCTTTTGGACTTCTATTGTGCAGCATTTTGAAGTTAATGTCTTGCATTCTTAAAAATTGCTACGAGTAGATCTTAAATTAGTTTGATTGTGGGGAATCATTGAACAACATAACAAAACATGTTACACACTATAAGTATATAGTTTTTATTTGTCTTAGAATTCAATAAAGCTAGGGAAAAAAAAAGAAATTACCCCTGTAAACATGCTCAAAACAGAAATGATTTTGTTAATTTTATTTCTCTATAAACTTTCACCCAAACAGCTAAAGAAAAAAAATACCTTCAGTGTTTTTACTAAATTAATGTAATTTCTGCTTGCTGTAGGCGAGTGTTTCTATGGTTGGTTAGAACCTTTGCTGGCCAGAATAGCTGAGAACCACACTGCCGTTGTGAGTCCAGATATTGCTTCCATAGATCTGAACACATTTGAATTCAACAAGCCTTCTCCATATGGAAGTAACCATAACCGTGGAAATTTTGACTGGAGCCTTTCATTTGGCTGGGAATCTCTTCCTGATCATGAGAAGCAAAGAAGGAAAGATGAGACCTACCCTATCAAGTAAGACGATTGCTCTCCTAGTCTTAAATTCAATCCATAATACCATATACTGACTATGTATACATCCTTTGTTTTTACAGACATTGCCTCTAAGGTAATTCTTACTAACAATACCAACATATTCAATATAAAGAGAATGATAAAGTAATTTATTTAGGCACTTAGATATGCTATTACTGTAGGAAGTATAATTAGGTGAGCTTGTATGTCTTTTTCCACAAATCATTACTTAAGAATCTTAAAGCATGGTTAGAAGACACTGAGTACTTATTTCCCCAAAAATTTTGACTTTGGCGATGGCACTTTTAGGTCTTATTAATCTATATGAAAGATTTCAATTGTGAAATCCTTTCAACCTATAAAGCTGATGCAGTTCTTTATGCTATTTTATCTTCTGTAGTTTTTGTAACAAAAGTTTTGACAATTGATTATTTTTCAGAACACCCACTTTTGCAGGAGGCCTTTTCTCTATATCAAAAGAATATTTTGAACATATTGGAAGTTATGATGAAGAAATGGAAATCTGGGGAGGTGAAAATATAGAAATGTCATTCAGAGTAAGTTTATGGAGATTAAATATTATACACATGGTAAACAATGAAATGTATTGTGTCCTAATTGCCTGGTACAGATGATTACAGATGTATGCAGTGTTTTTGGGCTTTCAAAAACTTAGTTGCTAGAAAGTTGTAAATAAGAATATTCCTTTTAAATTGTAATTTGATATATTTATTCATGGTTGCCAGTGTAACAAGAGGAATTAGTTAAACTCCTGTGTCTGGGCAATAACACCAATTAATGCACTTGTAGCTACTGAATTCCAGCCAAGATAAATATAATTAAACCTAGTGCTTCAGGAAATGAGTTGATTATCAAGAGAGACTGTGGAAAAACATTTATGTATAATTTTAAAGGACATTGGACTTAACTCTTTGGATTAAGTAAGCTTTCCCATACACATTAAAAAGGGTTTTTTTTTTGTTTTGTTTTGTAAACACATTAAACATTAGTATAAAAACAAAACAAGGGCTTTGGATAGTCTCTAGATTTATATTATTTACTTGATTTCATGAGTTTATTTTTTGCTCTAACTTTATTCATTTTTTTTGTCCCTGAGACTGGAATGTGGTGGAAAAATAAATGAACCTGGGAGTTAGGAGATTTAAGTTTTGGCTCTGACTCCGTCACATGCTGGCAGGAATTATCTTAGCCAAGTTTGGACTGCTTACGCACAGGGGTCTTGTTTTATTCATTTCAGTGTTTCTAGGCTGGAGCATGTGGTGAATCTGAAGCATAACATGTTGAACTGAACATATCACTGAGTTTTCTCATTTGCTTAAAGAAGAAAAGGAGGATGTGATCACTCGACCTAATACTTGCATGTGCTACCGAACATGACATCTTTTCAGAGATTTTGCTTAGTGTTTATTTATGGCAGAACCAATTATTAACACATTTTGGTGAAAATGTGTTAATTTCATGATTTACCATTTTACTTAGAATTAAATCAACTGAGTATTTAGAACACTTCCTAAGTAGGTGTGGATTTTGTATAATGACCAACTACTTTAAAAATTCAATAGGTTGTGCTTTGGTAATAATGGCAATCCAAGTTGTTTTCTTGAAAAACAAGTTGAACAAACAAGAGATGAAATCCGGTCCACTTACATGCACATAGCTAGTTCAGCCTTAGAAGAGAAACCTTGTGGTTTATGTGAAATGACTATGTGAGTTGAATAAGATGGAAGTCAAATGCACAAGTGCCTTTGGTCTTCTGTGCAGATAAGAGGACTTGTATAATTGCTTGCAAAAAAAAAACCAAAAAACTGTGCAATTCATTTTTATGAAGGATCCAAAATCATTATTTTGTTAACTTACTTTCTGAAGATCTTGCTTTTGTTTTCTATAGTGTTTATATCATTTAATAAAAATCATCCACTTCTACAGAACTGAAGTTAATTGGCAGGGAAGAAAGACGTATTTATGAAAGCATAATAAATCTCTTCTCTATGTTTTGTTTTTATTAGTATCTGAAAGGTGAACTTAAAAGCAACACTTTGATTTCCCCCAACTACTGTAAATTTAAACACATGTCATTGATTATCAGGTATGGCAATGTGGTGGGCAGTTGGAGATTATGCCTTGCTCTGTTGTTGGACATGTTTTTCGCAGCAAAAGCCCTCATAGCTTTCCAAAAGGCACTCAGGTGATTGCGCGCAACCAAGTTCGCCTTGCAGAAGTCTGGATGGACCAGTACAAGGAAATCTTTTATAGGAGAAACACAGATGCAGCAAAAATTGTTAAACAAGTAAGTTAGAGCTAAACATTAAATTATGATAAAAAGCTCTACCAGTTCACATGTCCTTTTGCTTGAGACAACTCAGATTCAAAACATTTTAAAAGTTACTCTTTTTTTTTTTTTTCTGGTGGCACTGAGGTTCGAACTTAGAGGCTCATGCTTGTTAGGCAGGCACTCTTACTGCTTGAGCCACTCCACCAGCCCTAAAAAGTTATCCCTGAAGTTAGGCTTTTAATTTTAACTCTTAAAATGTGTAAGTTATGGATGCCGGTTTTCTCTCTTTAAAGAAAAAAATTAAACAAACAGCTTTTTAAGAATTCAGGTATTCTCCCTTTTAATATGAAAGATATTTTGTTTTTGTGATTGACTTGTTTCAGTATTTTACCGAAAGAAAATAAGATTAAGTGGAAATATGATTAACACCTAAATTTAGGTTCTAGAGGCTGGCTTTTTTCTGCCCAAGTTCTAATTTCATTATTCACTGGAGGTGCTGCCTTGGCAAAGCCCCTTTAAATACATGAAATGGGATGACACTTGATAGAGTGGCTGCCCCGTGGCTGGATGTGGACTCTATGATACTTGGTTTTTCTTTCTCCTCTCATGTTGAGAGAGAAAATACATGCCTTGACTCTCTCCAGGAATAGCTGTGAAATAAGGAAGTGATAAATGCTAACAAACGTGATACTGTTGTTATTAATGTGTCATAGGTAGAATCTAGTCTGCAGAATCATGCACATCAGAACTGAGTTTCAAGTGTCTTTATATTGCATGTGGTAAATTAACTCAGTAACAAAGTAGTTTTAAGGACATACTTCAGTGAATGGTACTCATCTCTTTGCAGGGAACAGATAATACTAATTTGGGGCTGATGTATTTTGGAGTCAAGGGCATCAGCATTTTGACTCATGGTAAATAAAGATCTGGTTACCTATTTCCATATTTTCTTTGGTCTCATTTATCTGTAACTCATCAGTAGGATGCAAAATCAGAACTTTACTCTGGATTAGATTACTATCTTTTTTTGCCCAAGGCCACAAATACAAATTGAATGGATTTTGTAGTCCACAAGAATACTTGGCTAAAATGGGTCCTGTCTGAGGGGTGGGTACCAATGGGGGAGGATATAAGGAAAGGGGGTCAGAGGATGAGTATAGTGGAAATACTCTGTATACATATATGTAAGTGGAAAAATGAGAACTGTTGAAACTATACCAGGAAGGAGGGGTGGGTAAAGGAGAATGATGGAGGGGGTGAATTCAATTATGATATGTTGTAAAAAATTTTGTAAATGTCACAAGCTACCTCCAGTACAGCAATAATAAAAAAATTTGCAAGATGAATTTACAAATATCATACATTAAATTTTTTTTTTTTAAAAAGAAAGAAAACTTGACTTTGCAGGCAAGTGGTGCAGAGCAGGGCAGGTGAGCCAGACAACACCTGTCCTTACCATGGGGTACATAGTTCTACCTGGCAAAATGCATAAGCTGGCCAGAAGTCCTACTTCTTGCTAAAATACCTGAGTTCAAGATATTAAAGTTGGCATAAGAAAATATTTTCCTTGGTTGAACTTATAAGCTTGAGTATTTACTTTTTTCATACATTTAGGTATCAAATATAATTTTTCTCTAAAGTTTTGCCTGTAAACTAAATACCTTTTCAGTTTAATAGTGTATTTTAAATTGTTTACCTTATCCTTTAAAACAAAGGAAAGCAACATGCAATTAACTCAAAATTGCCTTTTTCTACTAAAAGTCCTGTTTGAGATATTGTTAAGGATAAAAAAAAAAAACCAAAAATCAAAAAATAAACATCATTCCCAGCTGTGCTGGGTTTAGTTGGTTTTTGCAGATTTAATTAGAAAGAGATAAATTCCACTGTGAGCTAGCACTGTTTATCTGCAGATGCTCCCTGATACCTCACTTTACACACTGTTTTTAATGTTAAGTGTTGGGATCAAATCAGAAAGCTCCCACTACCAATCCATGCCCACAGTGTTTCCATAGAGATCTGTGTCCTATAGGAGAAGTTTTGTGGCACAAGTGGAAAATAACACAGTGTCTGGCCAGCACCACAGTGTTACTTGACTCTGAACCCAAGAACAAATAGGCAGGCAGGCGTACTTGTCTGAATGGATGGTGAATGTTGTTAAATTGCATCCCGCATTTTGTCCCAGAATTTTATTTTTTAATTCCTAAATATAAATATAAGCAGTAGCCTTTGAACACTTTGTCAAAGATGTACTGAATAAGCATCCCCTTATTTCCTCATCTTTCTCTAGAAATCATTTGGCGATATTTCAAAAAGACTTGAAATAAGAAACCGCCTTCAGTGTAAAAATTTTACATGGTATCTGAACACTATTTATCCAGAAGCATATGTGCCAGACCTTAATCCTGTTATATCTGGATATGTGAGTATTTTCCTGTTCCATTTTTTACTTGATCTACTCTTCTCCACCAACATTTATGTGGTTCAGAGAAAATTGCTGAAATACTTCTTGGTTTATTGCTTTTGAGTTTTTACATTATTATTATTATTATTATTATTATTATTATTATTTGGTAGGGACAGTACTGGGACCTACCTTTTGCTCGGATAGTGCTCTACCACTCAAGCCATATCCCCCGACTTAGATTTTACATTATTATTCTTCATCTTATTTCCCGGGAATTAACTGAAAAACATAAAATACATAGCTTAAATTTTTTTATAATTTGAAATTTTTCTTATAGATTAAGAGTGTCAGCCAGCCTTTATGTCTGGATGTTGGAGAAAATAATCAAGGAGGCAAGCCACTGATTCTATACACGTGTCATGGACTTGGGGGGAACCAGGTGAGAGCGACCCTATGCTAGAAATCCTCTCTTCTCACTGGCACTTAACACAAAAGAAGTTAGCATGTTTTTCAGAAGTCATAACTCAGCTTTAGACCCAGGTAAACTGATGTGTGAAATGTTTTTAAGACTAAGCACGGCAATTGCTGTTGAAGTTGTAGGGCATTTTGTTTTTGTTTTCACTCTGGCTCTGAAAATAATTTGAAGTCATGTACCCATTCAGTTGAAAGGAAAATGAGAAAACAAAACCAAAACAAAAAAAGATAATGCCATTGGAAAATTTTTAGAAAGGATCTTTTTTGTATTTCTTTGATGTTTGCATGACTGTTGGCTTGTTGATTTTTGCAAGATTATAAGTAAAGGCTATATTTAACTGCATTTGGTGTCAAATTACATCCAATGTTAATACCAACACAGGGACATTTATGTTCTTTTTGTTTGTTTGTTTGTTTGGCGGTACTGGAGTTTGAATTCAGGACCTCATGCTTGCTAGGCAGGCACTCTACCACTTGACTCACTCCACCAGCCTCATTTAAGTTCTTTTTTTGGGCAAAAATATTATTATTTAAGTGTTGTCTCTGTTCTCCCCAAAAGGTAGGTTTTTGATTCTTGGTTGGTGACATCCTACTTGTGCCCATTCTATTTTACCAATTAAGACTCAAAAGTCAAATGTTACTCTCTGGCCTGTGATGGGTAGAGAACAGAATAAACATTGAATTTCTGGAGTTTTTACCTTCCTTTCCATACCTTTTGCAAGTTAACTTCCAGGAGGATTTGACTGGATTTCTTCTGTTTGTGTCATTCAGCAAATTTGCCAAGTGACCCCTATATCCCAGGTGCTCTGATGGCCTCAAGCCATGTAGGTTGCCTAACTCCTTCAGGCAGTCTGCATTCAATACCAGCAGTCATAGTCAGTGTGGTAAGGTCTGAGATAAAGCATTTGGGGTGTTCTTGGGGTTTAGAAAGGATATCTGATTTAGACTGAGTACTCATACATTTTCCTGGAAAAGATCACATTTGAAGACTGGTTTTTTAGAAAGTAAGTAGAAGATAGAGAGGTGGCTGGTGGGAAAGGGAGCAAAATGAGATGAACATAAAGAAAGGTGTACTAAGGAGTGAAGCCTAGAATGTGGCATTTGGGAAACTGTAGGTACTTCGGTGTAGAGTCCAACATGTGTATATAGGATTCTCAAAATATTAAAAGCTTACAATATCTTTTTTTTTTTTTTTTTGGCTATACTGGGGCTTGAATGCAGGGAGGTACTCTACCACTTGAGCCACCCCCCACCCCAGCCCTTTTTTGCTTTAGTTGTTTTTTCATATAGGAGTCTAGTAGTGCTTTTTGTCCCCAGGTCCTCTTGGACCACAATTCTCTTACTAGGGTTTCCTGCAGATGTAGAGCTAGGATTCAGACATATACCAACATGCCTAGCTTGTTCTTTGAGATAGAGTCTCACTGTTTTGATTTTTGTTTTTTTTTGTTTTTTTCCCTAGCTGGCCTTGAATTGCAGTGCTCCTATATCCACCTCCCAAGTAGCTGGGATTACAGGTGTGTCACTGCACCTGGCCTCATAATATTCTACTTTTACAGGATTGGATATTGAAGTTATCAGTTGTAGGAAGAAAAGGTCAATTTGCCTCCTGGTACATCCTTTTCCATACATCTTCCTATTGACTAAGCTCAGCTAATCCAGTTCTGTTCTAGAGTCACATAAAGCTGTCAGTCTACTGGGGCAGATGACGCAGTTGCCAGAAGCCAGAACTGTTGAACTGGATCTCTCACTGGATGAATGGTCAAAGTGCAATTCTGAAATGGGATATATAGAGAGAGACATATATAGACACACATAGACATATACCTATATTTATATATGTGTGTATAGCTTTTTAAAAATTTATTTTCCCTCTTTATAAGGAAAATTTACATCAATAATTACATTCTTTTGGAAATAACACTGGACTATGCTTCTAAAACTTAGTTAATTTTTGTTTGTGATACTAGTATTTGAACTCATGGCTTCATACTTGGTAAGCAGGAACTCTGTCAATGAGCCACACCTCTAGCCCTTTTTCCTTTGGTTGTTTTTCAGATTGGATCTTGTGTTGTGTTTTTGCTCAGGCAGGCCTAACCTGCTGTCCTCCTACTTATGGCCTCCCGTGTAGCTGGGAGGACAGACACATGCCACCACACCCAGCTTTTTTGTTAACATAGTCTCTCACTAACTTTTTCTTTGGCCCGGGCTGGCCTCGAACTGAGACTCTTCTAATCTCCAACTTCCAAGTAGCTGGGATTTCAGCTACCACTCCCAGAAAAATTAAGAATTTTAACAGAGAAATATTTCTTCATTTGTATAAATATTATAAATAATGATATAAAAATTAATACTTGTAGTTTTATTTATAATTAATATTACCATTTATATATATTAATATTACAAATAATAAATTTAAAACATCTCAGATAATAAAAATCATATGAAAGCATAAAAACATAATTTTTCCTCAATCTTTTCCTAGCATTGTATTTATTTTATCTTAAAGGTGGAGATGTATTGTGTATATAGTTTTGTCTTATTTTCCTATTTCATGGCATAAAGGTATTTCTATAGTATTAGGCAAAGTTATTTTTTGAATTATCAATAAAATATAGCTATCTTTTAGAAAGTTGGAAATGGGAAGAAATTCTCATATTAACATATTTATAGAACTTGTACTGTGACTTGCACTGTCACAGTAATAAAGAAGACAAAGCCCCTGACCCATAAAACTCGTGCTCCATTGGAACATTTTTTTCCACAAGAAAAGAAAAACATGCTCATGTAATTTTGAGTAAGGGATAATGCAGGTAATGGGTGGGGATTATCTTCAGAGATTAGGGCCAACTTTTCTTGAAAAGTGACTGTAGATGGAGGCCAGAATAAGTTGAAAAGGGAACCAAGTTTCAGGAGAAGAGCATCCCAGAGTTGGGCTGGGCAAATGCAGAATACCAGAGCAGGTTCATGGAGAAAGCAGAAAGCTGGTGTAGCCAGGACAGAATGGGCCAGGTAAGAAGGGGTAGGAAATGAGGTCAGAGACAGTGATAAGGGCTCTGGTCATGTAGGGCTCTGCAGGCTCCATTTGGACACTTGGATTGAATTCTGAGTTTGACTGAAGCCATCTGAGGGTTTTGAGCAGCAGAATAATGTCTGGTTTATATTTTAAGATGACTCTGGTTTCTGTCACCTTAACACAGCCATTGCTTATATTTTAGTTTATAGCCTTTAAATTTTATTTTCAGTCAAACATTATACTTTAGTTACTTTGCAGATTTTACTTCATTGGGTGGTAAAAAGTTTGAAAATTTGAATATTTTCTCAATGTTCCCTTCTGTTTTGATAATATACTGATGTCTTCATAATTGTAACTCAATTATAATAGAATTTGTGTTTGCAAAATAAGTATTTTGGTTCTGTGACTCAATTGGCCAATATTCTGCTATAATGCAGTTTAAGTTGTGATAGGTTTATAATACTTGATGCTTCACTTCTTCCACTGTTTCTTCCAGAGTATTCTGGTTCTAAATTATGGTCACCCCAATGTTCTCAGCTAGCTAATTGCATAATTTCCTTTTTGTTACTAAAGTATTTTCAACTTTTTTCTATTTCTTCTGAGTTCCAGTTTATATCTTTCTAAGAATAGTGAGCTAAAACGCTGGACAGTCTTTCTCAACACCTTCAAGATCTTAAGGTTTATTTTTCTTAGTTAAGTATAGTTAGCATGCTGTTTTCTTTCATCTTCTACACCTATGTCCTTCCACTATTTCCATCTGAAGAACTACCAGTCAGAAAAATGATTTATGTCTTACCTGTGGGAGGAGATAAATTAAACATGAGACCAAGACTAGGGGAATTCAAGACATGTGGCTCTGTTAATTCTGCTAATGTTTGTAGAGCACCAACTTTCGTACAAACAGTGGGGTCTGCTTAGCAAATAGTAACCCCAAAAATGTTAGTGATGATAGAAACTATTTCAATGTCAAAAATCAATTATGTCAACTTATTTTATCTTTAGAATGTCAGCATTATTAAATATTTGATTTATAATGGATGCTATTAGTAGATACACTGCCTGGCTTTGGTCTGTGGGTGAACCAACTAGCTACATATGCAGTTCTAATAACATGCTATTAGATGTACTAATTCTGATAATATACTGTTATGTGATGTACTATGGAAGCCTTGAAAAGTTGTAAGTTGTGCTGTAGGATAGATTCAGAAAAATCCAAAGAGAGAAGCTGAATTGGTTCTTGAAGGATGAAAAGAGTTAGAGGGTATTCTAGGAGCCAACACGAACAGTAGAGCAAAATCTTAGGTTGTAGGTACCACAGTCTGCAGGGAAGATTTGTGTGCAATGAGCATAGTATACAACTGGGCAATGGCTCATGGAAGATTGAAAACTGAGCATTTCATGTACCAATTAGGTAGTATAGACTTTGTCTTAGCAACAGTGGTGATTCACTTAAGCAAGTATAGTATGGGATCAAATCAGCGCTGCAACAGAGACTAACTGCCAGCAGATTGGACTGCTGGATTAATGGGATCAGAAACCAGAGATAGCTGGATGTGTCACCACATAAACACTGAGGGGATCTGAGTCAGAGAAGTGAGGACAGAGAAGTAAGAATAGATGGATGGTAAACATCTGAGTAAAATCCAGTTAGAACTAAGAACCTGATTATTAAGTGTGGAGGGGTGGGAGGAGAGAGAGATGCATTCATAATAGTAACAATAGCGATAAGGTATCATATGTTTGCCATGTGCTAGCCTTTCTGCAAAGTGCCCTACATTAACCCATTTAAATTCCTAAGTCTGTAGGGTAGGGTTTACTAAGTTACCCATTTCACAGGTGAAGAAACAGGCATGGAGAATGTCCTATACTTTCTAGTTTAATGGAAATATCTTTGATTGGGATGAATAAAAAGGAGGAATATTTGCTGGAAGAGAGGAAGAAGCTAGTAACATGCTTCCTAGAACTTTCCAGATCTGGTGCACCTGTGTTAACTTTGGTTCTACTTGATAACTTCTGGTCTCTGGTATTGAATGAAAGAGAGTACCTTGTTAATTAAGTAGTCACTGTTGGTGATGGACTGAAGGGAGACTATAGGTATCTTCTGTGATAAAAGCTCAGCTCATGTTTCTAATAACCATTTTTATTCATATTATTTTGTTGAAGTAAACATGACTTTATTATTCAGCAATTAGCTGATTGCTTTTCACTTTGTTTTCTTTTGCCACTGAACACATAGGATGAGTTTGTCATTAACAGCACTCTTCCTTCTGTAGTACTTTGAATACTCTGCCCAACGTGAAATCCGGCACAACATCCAGAAGGAATTGTGTCTTCATGCTACTCACAGTCTTGTTCAGCTGAAGTCATGCGCCTACAAAGGTCGCAAGACAGTTGTTGCCGAAGAACAGATATGGGAGATCCAGAAGGTAGCTCATTGCAGTTCATTCACCTGTTTATTTGATTGTTTTGATTAGCTCTAATTGTCTTAATGGGAGAATGTATGAATACAGTACATTAATACCCACCAGTATTTCTTTGCCTTTATTAAGTTTGTTAATCCATCCACCATGTGGTGAGAGACTGAACCTATGAAGTATGTACCCCAGGAACGAAAGAACCCCTGTTTTGAAGCCTGTTTACACAGCTCAAGAAAATCTCCTATGAATTATTATTAATAATGTTAATAATTAATAATTCTGTGAATTATTAATAGTTGCTCATTTTTTTTGCTTATTAGGGTTCTTACAGTACTTTTTGTAAGAGCCATACCTTTTCTTTACAGAGAGAAGAAAAATTTATTTTTTCACTAAAGTGATTCTTTCTTCCTTTCTTTTAACACATTTTAATGAATCTGGAGTTGAGAGAACAATGACAGATTGCTTATTTTTAAACAAATGTTTTAAGATCTAGCAAAATCATAGCAATTTTTACCTAAAAAATTGTTTTGTGCAATATTGGAAGAAATAGCACAAGACTTACCTTTGTAATTTGTGATTATTTTTAAGAGTTTGTCACTTGTGAATATATAGATGGAATGCTTCTTGCTTGCAAACTCGATCAGATCTTGTTCTATATCCTCTCTTCATTCATCTAATGCTTTATGTGAACTGAATAAATGGTAGTACTTATGGCAGAAACCAACAATGTTTCATCAGACATAATTGATCTTTGGAAGATTTAATGTTAAGAATGGTTTCCATTTGTTTTGCAAGTCTCTCTTTAGTTTTGATGATACCATAAGGTTATTTTCATGTTACTCAGTTAATCATGACTCTTCAGTTAATTATGACTCTTGAAACTTAATGTCTGATGTGTTTTCTTTTATTCTAGGATCAACTTCTATATAATCCATTCTTAAAACTGTGCCTTTCAGCGAATGGAGAGCATCCAAATTTAGTGTCATGCAACCCATCAGATCTACTCCAAAAATGGATTTTTAGCCAAAATGATTAAGTGTTCCTTAAAATTAAGGAGTTGAAAAGAGATATTCTTTCTCATAAAACTGTGACTAGCATACACTGTAGTTTTTGAAAATTATGCAAAAGCAGCTAATTGTAACTTATTCCAAGTGCATTTTTCTTATTTATATCATAAGATATCTATGTAGCACTATGTAGCACTGCTACAGAAATCCCATAAGTTTCTGTTTCAAAGCACAATAACTAGTAATACCAAAGACTATTTTAAAATGTCCAGATGTAAGAGAAGTTTACAGTATGATGAAAATAATTTTCCTAGTGAAGTGATATTTGTGTGTTTTATACACTTGAGAATATGCATAGCGACAGTCACACACTCACAATTTAAACTATTTCCTCTAGCTTTTTTGGGGGGAGAGAAGGAAAAAGATTTGATACTGTATTTTTTTAACCACATAGAAATGTATCAATGAAGGTCAAATATTGGCCTTTGTATACAAACCAGGAAATTTTTATAGATCTAGAATTTATTATTTTTAAATGCGGGTAAACTTTTTTGTCTTTTGTTTACTTGTCTGTCAAATGTTTCCTTAAAACATGAAGTTGAATAAGGAGGAGTATTTTTAACACTTAAATTTCTTAACAAATTTTAAAAAAAACCATTTTTTAGTCTAAAGCCCAATCTACTAGATGCACTAAAAGTCTTCCCTAACTAACTTTTAAGTGACTATACTGTGTGTTTTCCCAGAGCAATTTTTTTAAAAAAAAAAAACTTTATAAATCTGTTAATAAGGGGTCCTTTTCCTCCTACTAGTGTTTTTTTCTTACCAAAATTCACTAATCTTGAGTGTTTGTGATATTGAATTTCAAATACAGAATACTTGACTCAATGCTAAATTTTATTTGTTATTGATTCAGTATAGATTATCTTTGTAATGGATTTTTTTCATCAACAAAGCCTTATTTTATCTGTGTGAAAAACACAATAAAAAAATGCTAAACACTATTGTAACCACTTGTTTAAGTTTTCTTCCTCTTTTGGGTAAAATCTATAATTGATAGTAGGTCGGGAAAACATTCATTTTATATATTTAATTTGTAATCACCTATTGTTTGTGGAACCATCAGGTTGTTGTCCACATTCTGATAACTTTCCTTGAGCGTCTGATAGAGTGATTTTTTAAAAGTTCATCCTTAGGAGATTTAACACTTTTTTTTTCTTTTTGGTCATTTTATATGTATATATATATATCTTGTTTCTTATTTCAGAAGCAAAATATGATTGGCTTCATATTTTAAACCTGATAGTCTCAACTGTACAAAAGAAAAGTTCTTAATTATTGGTTCCCATTTTCTTATTGTTTATAACTTTAAACTTGCATTAAATCCTGCATTCTCTAAGTGATAACTTTGCCAACTTTTATTCAAATCACCTACTATCTATTTTATGTCTAACTTTGTATCACGTTATGGTGAACGCAATAAGACTGCCTTTGAGCTGTGTCTCTTTTGGTAGAAGGTATGATAAACAATTTTGAAATAGAGCGTGCCCGTATGATGTTATATTTTATGATGTGAATGACAGCTCATTAGTCATACTTGCTATTTTATTCATATATTCCTCTATTGTAGCTAATAATAACATGTATTATTAAAAATACAGTAGCAGTCACTTACATGTGTAATTTCTGTTTCTCAGTTTTTTACACTAGATGCGAACATCCATGAGCAAATGCTGCTCTTAAGTCTTATTATATTTCTAAAATAATACAAAACCAGGCCGTTTTGAAAGATATTTCATAAATGAACTTAAGTATATTTAATAAAATAAAATCAGCCTCAGAGACCCTCCACTTATCAGCCACATGTTGTCATTTATGATCTGAGTGAAATCTGCTCAGATTAGATAGGTTGTATTATGGTTGAGAAAAATGCATCCACAGTGGAAGTCCTTTCTTGATATGGCTGTCTCAAGCTGTTGCTCAAGTGTCGTACCAATAATTTCATTAAGGTTTGTGTCTCTGGGATGGGTGATGCCTTTTAAAAGTCTATGTTTTACAGCAGTGCTAACAGGGAGCTATTTATGGACCTTGGCTGCCATCCACCCGAATGATTTGCATGCACTCAAGTGTGAAATTGTGGAACTTTTGCTCAGTTTGAAGTCGCCATGGCAAATGGTCTAGTTGCTACAGAAGACCTGGCATGTTGCCTTTTTTCCAGAGGACCAAGGCCTCAGAACTTTACATCGGTAATCTGCACTGCCAAACCTGCTAAGATCAACCCAGTCAACAGGCTCACTGAAAACTGAGATGTGACCACACACTTAGCCACAGGAGAAAGTAAGCTACACACTAAAGTTGCCAAACTAAATTGCCAAAATTACTGTATCCAATGATAATGAATTTTAAATTCAATAAACCATCAAAACGTAAGAGGAAAAAAAGGTAGGGAACCACTATCTCTGCAAAAACAGGTTGAATTCTTAGGAGAGACTAGAAACAAAGTCAAATTATTAAAGACATGCTAAGTCATTACAGTTCATAAGAACTGTAAAATATAGGGGGAACAAAAATCTAAGAAGATTCTACACTTGAAATGCCTCACAACTCACTTTAAAGACAACAAAAATAATTATCTTGAGATATTTATCTTTAGTGTGGCTTGTGCAGGAAAGGTGTTGTAGAACCCTACGAAATTGTTCATACTCAGCCAAGAGGCCAATTGGCCACCCAACAGTGTATTTGTGAAAATACACTGAATACATATATAGGTGTGTGCATATGTGTGTGCAAATTTTCACTTAACAATATTTGATATGGATCTTTTTTTGCACTCTTAACTACTAACTAACACATATGGTCACTCTTGCTCTACAGTCATTAACAATATTTAGGAACTCTCTTTTGTGTTTATCGATCATATTAGACATCAGGGGTTAATAATATATGAACAGTCTCTACCTTCATAAAGGTTGTAGTCTGTTAATGTGCTCCCCAGTGAGGTATCACAACATAATGATGGCATCAGCACCATCAGATTCTTGTGGGTCCATTAGCAAAAGAGGAGAAAATAGAGACTCGACTTTTAATGGTAATAATTAAAGGAATGCTTCTTAAACTTTATACACTTGGAAGTCTTATTAAAAGACAGATTCTGCATCACAAAGCCTGAGATAGAACCTGTGATTCTGTACTTCTGACACACTCTCAAGTGATGTCAAGGCTGCTGATCCTGGAACCTCATTTGGGATAAAAGTCTACCCATTGGATCAACACCTAGGGTTCTTTTTGTGTGTATGTGTGTGCTGGGCCTTGAACTCAGGGCCTACACGTTGAGCCACCCCACCAGCCCTTTTATGTGATGGGTTTTTTCCAGACAGGGTCTCGTGAACTATTTTCCTGGGCTGGCTTCCAACTGATTCTCCTGATTTCTGCCTCCTGAATAGCTAGGATTACAGGCATGAGCCACCGGCACCTGGATAATGCCTAGGACTCTTTGAGATGACTATGATGACTTCACCATGCAAGTACATGTACCCAGTACCCTCCACTCAGCTGTCATCCCTGGGTAACATATTTACCCTTATTTTTGAGCTATCCATTTGCTTCTTGTTAAATCTCATGTTTCATGGATTTTTACATATTCCCGTTTCTTGATCCAAATATTTCTTAATTATGTCTCTTTTGCATTCTCAGTTTCTTCCTGGAAATGTTGTATCTGACCCTCTTTTATATGTTGATCTATTAATTTATTTGGGAAGATAACTTTTGTCACTGGCATTCCTTGTCTAGGTCTACTCTATTTTGTAGGAACATGTTCTAAACTTTATCCTCTATACCTTTAGATTTTTGTTTCCATCATTTATAATTTCTAAGAGTATATTCTTGTTCTCTGAATGCTTCTTACATACCACTCTACTATCTTATGAATTTTATTGTTTTTCTATTTTTCTAAGGTTATTAATGGCTGGCAGGTTTTTTTTTTTAAGTTTCCACCTATTTCAATAGTCTGTTTTCTCAAGGGTTTTTTTTTTTCTCATTTGTTTTCTCTCTTCATTTCTTAATAGATACTTTCCTCAAATATCTGGCAACTCTTAGCTATCTCTAACAAAAGAACACCCATACTTCTTAGAAATCTCTGCTGTGTGAACAGGCCTTGTTGATTGGTCTTTCCTAGAGGGCGAGCTGATTGAGGAAAATGACAGGTTAGATCCTCAGCAAAGAATCTTCTACTCACCTACCTGGAGAGTGTAAGCCTGACTTCCATTGGGAAAAGAGGGCTGGGGACACATTAATGTAATGCCTGTCTTCAACTGTCCTGTGGTCCCCTATTTTATCCTCTGTAGTGAGTGAATCTCTAGGCTCCTGCCTGAATGTGGGAGAGGATCTGAGGGTCTAATAGTAAGTAGATGATAGACTATAATAAATGGATAGACATCTCCCACTTTCTTTCTCCCTCACTTTCAGAGGCACTAGATATCATCAGTTCCTGATCTTTTCTGTGGTCTTGAAATGCAAAATGGATTGCTGCTCTGCTTCCTAACTTAGATTAATCTCCATCCATCCTGGTGACACTCACTACTGACTTGCTTCCTAGGTTTCAAACTAGTGATGCCATTGAATTTGTCCTCTTTCCTGCTATGGATTTATGAATATTTACCTGTCTTCATAGTTATTTTCATGGGAGTTTGGAATGGAGTAGAAGAAAATGAGAGTAGAATCTAGTATTCTCCATGAAAAACTGCCACTCATTCTTCAATGACCTCCAATCTGTCTACTGTCACTAACAACTTCCAAGTTGCCAAATCCTATACCCCCTTCCCTCCTCATTGATTTAAGCCCCTCAGCATTTGTAACAATTGACAGCTCAATCAAATTTGGGAAACTCTCTCCTCTGTGGGAGCCATGGACACCCAGAACAGTCAAATTCCTCTGTTCTGCCTCAAACCATCATTATAGAATACATGGGCTCAGATCATCTCTATTTCCCCTCCTTTTTGGCCATTCCTCTAGTTTATTTTATCACAGCAACATGAGTTATCTTAAATAAGAAACATTGCTTCCCTGTTTTGTAACCTTGCCGGGGCTTCCAATTGTTCTTAGAATAAAATTTATGCTTGTCTACCACTACATATCCTGCATGACCCTTTCAGTCCTGGCTTATTTCCCCTGCCTCCTCTAGGGTCACATTTTCTCTGGCTTATTGTGCTCCAGGCTCAACAGTTACCACCTTTATTTGTCTCCTATGTCAACCTTGTTCTTTCTTCACAACCTGTACTTTCTTTGGATCCTTCATAACAGTGTCCTTTACACCTTTCACTTCTCAGCTCCACTAACATATCCTCAGAAGAGACCACTGTATATAAAGTAAACCAATTACCATGTTTATTTCCTTTATTATATTTACTGCTACCTGAAATTACTGTCTTATTTTATGTGTAACTTTTCTTTTGTCACCACTAAAAGGTCATGTTCATGAGGGCAAGATAAACAATGAAATCTATGTCACATTACAATTTAGGTAGATTCATCACACCTTTTCCATTAACCAACTATATTTTTCAGAATGTTTATATCAAACAAGAAACAGAATGGATGCCAGTAAAGAAGGGCTATGAGCATAGGATTGAAGGATGAAAAAGAAAAGTGTGTGTGTGTGTGTGTGTGTGTGTGTGTATGTGTGTGTGTGTGTGTGTGTAGGTATGAGAGAGAGAGAGAGATGCTTGGACTTATGATCAACTAAAAACAATCTTGATAGATAAATTACCTGAGTATATACATTACTTAATCAGAAGATGTATTACAAAGAACACAGATTTATTTACAAAATCCTATAGTCTAAGAACAATGGAGTCAAAAAATAGGAGTACTAGCTCACATAGTACATAATAAATGTATGAAATTCATTACCCAAAGGGTTTATGTAGGTAGAAATTTTAAATAGTTATAAGGTAGACTTAGCAAAAATAAAGACTGGCAAATTCACAATCCATAAGGGAAAGGTAGGATGCTT